GCTTCGTAGTCGTCCAGTTGAAACGGTCGCTGGAATTTATCCTGGTAGCGCACCACCTTACGACGCTTAAGGACTGGCCGGATGCTGCATTCATCTTCCCTATCACGACCAGGTGTTGACGACAGCTGCGTTGGGACCGGTATGACTGACAATAGTGGCGTCCATGGCACAATTGTATTGTATTGCGATCGCTCCATCAAAGCATCCTGTTTGCTACGTGGCTCAGCCGGATAAGGTGACCATGGTCATCATTGTTGTCGTTTCGGGCCCTGCACGACGATAATTTAGCATCTGGGACCACATCGATAACATGCGACACACCTGTTGTTACGCATGGTTGCGTGTCTTCGATATCTTCACAACTATTAATCCCGGCTGTCTCCTCAAATATTACCGACCGAGAAAGATAATCTTTCCTGTTGCAGGATTTAGCAGCCGATATTCCTTCTCTTTTATATCCCAGAAAGAGACATTTCATAGCTGTGTCTTCAAGCTTGCTGCGCTTCGACTTGGGCACGTGTGCATACGCTACACATCCAAAAAATTGCATCCACTCGTACTGAGGCCGTCGCTTGTACAGCTGTTCATAGAAGGATTGATCTGACCAGCTGATGGGATAGTATTGCGAACATCTGCAGCAGTCACCACAGCCTTCGCCCAGTATTGTTTCCACAGTTTATTTTCCTTTAGCTTGCAGCGCGCCATCTCGACCAAAGTGCGGTTGAGGCGCTCACTCATTCCGTTTTGCTCCGGGTTGTACGAAACCGTGAGCTGCTATACTACTCCAGTTCACTCATATACGTTTGCAAATTCTTGCTGGTATATTTGCCGCCGTTGTTACTTCGTAAAATTTAAACACATGTGTCTGACGATGCCGCGTCGGATAAACCATCGAGAAATGCGCCGACATCACAGTGAACGGGACGAAGTAGCGGAGCCTGACGTAGACGATGGGGTGATCGACCCGGCGACGTCCGAGCATACGACTCCAACACGCCGCTCGTATTGCTCCTTAAATGCTTCCCCCCCTCGTGTTTCGGGAATGGGGCGCGTGTCTGCTTTGTCAATGCACAGACCCTGCAGGTTCCCGCCGTATCGCACACTTTTGTCTTGGATTCCAGTGCTTCCGAGCAAATGAGTTTGTTGACTGCGTGGCGCGACGCATGACCGAGCCGGCGATGCCAAAGCTCACTGCTAACAGCCAGATGACACTCTGGTGCATCTTTAATATCAAGTGTGATCAGCTTACCACGTTTGGTATCCATAGCCACTACCGTACCGCTTTGCTTGATAGTATAGCCCGAACCGGCCATTTCGATCGACATTCCCTTTGCCATTGTTTATGACGCCGAAAACAAGTTACGTGTGAGCTCTGGAACATGTAACGTGTTCTCAAGTCGGGCGGCGAACACGCGCTTACCTACACGCACATTAAGCGCGACGGTACCTCTTCCGGCAACGACCATCTTGATCCCGGCTTTGGCGACCGTTATGTACATTAGCGCACTAAGATGTTCATAGTCGACAAACATATCGCGCGTGCAGCACATATGGTTGGATGCTCCGCTATCCAAAACCCAGTCATCAGACTTGAAGCGTGCACTGGAATCGTTGACTGCCGTGTTGGTGCAGTGGGTTATGGCTCCCGTGTCAACGCAAGTTGCTTGGTTCGAGTCCCATCAGAGCTGTACTCGCTATCCAGCGCACAGAACGCAATATGCATTCGTCCTTTTGTTCAAAGCCTTTTCGACAATTGCGCTGGTAGTGTCCGATACTACCGCACTTCCAACACGCGTCTTTTTTCTTTACTTTGTTTTTATTCTTGGCGAGGCCGGCAAGCATCGCGGTGCGCTCCTCCTTTTTCATCCTTTGAGCTGGACAGGCTGCGCAGCAATGTTGCACATAAATCTTCTTGGGCGCGCCCCGTGCTGTCCAGGCGCATCACCAGCGCCTCGAGGTCACCGACGTGCATCTCCATCGAGCCACCATTATAAGTTAACGTGACGAATTTCTTTTTAAGCCACATGCGATTCACCACATCTTGGCCTTCGTGAATGCGCCGTAGCATCATCCACACTTCAGCTACGCTGCCGGCGCTGATTACGTGCTGAAGCTGGTTGTCGGCCAGGTTGAGCATAACTGCCGCATGTGCTTACTGCTGCTTGGCGTCGTCGATGGCAGCGTGCA